ATCTAGACTCTTGGCTTGTAGATATGGTTGGAGTTCTTTTCAGCTGTAGTTCTGCTGAGGTGACTAGGAGGAAATCTGGATGCACATGTTGGGAAATGTTGATAGTTTGAATAGCAAAAGGCAAGCTAGGAGTTTTCCCCAGGTTTTTCTGTATACATGTGTAAATCTATATACGTACAATATATATATGTGTGTGTGTATATATATTTTTCCAAAGATGGGGCGTCTACCACCTCTCTGGTAGATACATACGTGTGTGTATACATACATGTGTATATATCTATTACAGCACGCCAGAGTTGCTTCTAGGCTTTTCAGCAGCTTCTAGCATGAATGAGGGTTTTGGGATGGGACATTTGAAAAGCTGGAGGTCTCGTGAGGTAATGTGTTGTATGTAGTACATTGATAGCTTACGTGTGGTAATTGTTGTTAAGATCAGGGCTCTCAGCAACCTCCTGTAGTTGAAGATGTCCCTGCTCATTGCAGGGGTGTTGGACTAGATGGCCTTTAAAGGTCTGTTCCAGCCCAAACTATTCTATGATTCTGTTGTTTACTTATTACAGGCAGCAGTGATTTATATCATTCAGAGAATGGCAGATACTCAGAGAAGGTGACCATCCTGCCATTTTCCATGCACCAGCATTGTCTCCATCTATGATATCTGAAGGTTGTTGAGAGTAAATGTGGAGAAGTGGTTTACTCTGGCAGGAGAAAAAAAACTGCTTAAAAAAAATGTATGCATTCAGTGCCAAAAAAACAGCTGCTTGGAAATGTCATTGAGACTTTGCCAGAGAAGCTACTGGAGCTCCATGCCAAGATTTACCAAAAAAGGAAGGATGAGTGTTCTCCAGTTCTCACAGACAAGTTCAAACCTAGAGCTCCTGAAGTAGGAGCAATTGTATAACAAAGGTAACACAATGATGACAAAAAAAGGAAATGCAATTTCTGATAAACATGTTAATAAGGGAATATGACACAGTATACTTAGAATTCTGAAAAGATTAATGTATTCAGGTTACCTTGCTCTACTGGTCCTACAGTGACTAACTGGTCATCCTAGCAAAGTGCACTGTGAGAAGTGCAGAGAAAATAGCAGTGTGAATAAAGCATAAGGGAAAAAATAGATAACAGTTATTAGCACTTTAAATCTGTGCTTAGCATCGGACGTAAAAGCTTCTTACTGAATTTTAGGGGCAGAGATCTCCCTTCCCAAATTCTGTGTCATTTATGAACTTGTGCTGTGATATGTGGATGTACGGTAAAAGTATTGGTGCCTGCAACCCTGCATTTGAGTAGTCCTAAAGCAGAATGGGCAGGATAGTAGTTGGAAGGTAAAATTCTGGAGTTATTTGCTTTCCTTAGGAAGGCTTCCTGAACTTTAAGAAAACTTAGTTTAGATGTGTTTGTTTTTCAGGAAGTCTTTATGTGCTTTATGGCTGTTTAATTGTGAATGGTAGAGCAATAATAAAGTAACTCCTGTTATATTCAGCGCACTGCAGTGAGCTTTTATGCTTACATGCAAGCTCATTCTTACAATAAGAAAAATATTTTTTAAGTATCCTGAGTCAGTTTCTGTAAATTAATTTTATTTATGTTATTTTACATTCTTTTACCATCTTTTGTAGTCTTTTTCTTAAGACTGTCATCATCCCACCCAGTTTAGTGATCTCCTTTAAATATTTCTCTGTACCACTTGGTAAGCAATGAATCTTTAAGTGGATGCATTGAATTGTCAGCTAAATAGAGGAATAAAACCCATCAATGTTGATTCTTTTTCATTTACCCAGTAGGGTGTCAGATAAATTAGTCCCTGTAGTAACAGAATCATAGAACATTATAGGTTGGAATGGACTTATATATTACATTATATACAAAAAAGTGTACGTGTGTGACCGTGAAAATGTGTGTATTTTAGGATCCCACCCTTTATTTATCATCTTAACTGTGTCTGATTATCATCTCTTCAAGCAACTTCTATAACTCATCTTCTGAGGAAAGACAGTTCTGCATCAAATCCCAGTTTAGAGAGCAAGGAGTTTTAATAAGGGGCACTATAAGTTCATTCATACCATCAGTTGACAGTTGGAAACCCTGAAACATTTCTGTTTGCTCAATATCCAGTTAAGGGTAGTAACAGAAGAACTTGTACAAGGAAAGTAAAATAGCCTCGAAAAGTTCAGTTTCGTGAGTGACTAACTCTGTCAGCGTCATAAGACTATGAGGATTGCTTCAGAAGTACTGGAAAGGATGTCAATAAAATACTGGATGAGTTGCACAGCAGTTCATTGTAGATGTTCTGACAAGAATGATGTTTACAAAAGTTGATGGCAAATTGACTTCTGATTTAAATAGGCATTGGTAGCTGGAGAGAAAGCATCAACATATTCTGGCTATAATCAGAAAAATGGCCTATGGGTGATCATCTGGCTGAACAAAGGACAAACATGAAAACCTTCTGCAGCAAATTTTGTTTTCATCTTGGTAAAAATTCAGATTTTTCCATATGCTGGATATCTATAACCTTCCAGTTTTTTTACTCTATCTAGGATATCAGATGCATACTTTCAGATAGACGAAGTGTCAGATATTTGTTTGATGATGCCATATCTAGAATATAAATATTAAATATATGAAGATCTTTATAAATCACCGAGCTGCCTAATGCTAATTTGAACTATGTCCTATCAATATCCTTTATGAACAAAAGTACTACTATAAGAAGTCACTCAAGTTATATTGATTGTAACTATCATTTGCCAAAGCCTATGCTAAGGAGTTGGATAAATTTGTTTATGAAATGAAAGAAAATCACAAATGCAATAAAGAAAATGACAACAATTAATTTTTAACCATTAATTTAGAAACAAGCCGGTGCGCCATGAATCATCCAATGAATTACACCCCAAAGACTCCTGTTTTGGCTTTGGTTCTGAAAATTAGCTCTGCAGACCTTGCTAAGCCTTGCTTTTCTGAAGGTGGTGTTACGAAAACATAAGAAGTAGAAATGAAAAATAAAATCCTGTAAAATTTTTGTAAAAAGATTTCTCGTAAGTCCCTACTGACACCTGGTCAACAGAAAAGTCCTGCTGTCTTGCAAGACTTGATTCAAAGGCTTGTACTGGGCTGAGCTGCAGATACCATACACCACATTCTTAGAAGTTTAATGCTGAAGTGGTATTCTTGCAAAAGGCTGTGGTCAGTGTACATGCTAATTTAGCAGGATGTATGTATGTGTTAGAGCAGGTTATTAGTGAAGGTTGGAGCAAGTGAAAAACACAAGGAAGAAAATAGCTGATTGCTATCGGAGATCGAGGAACAGAGACTAATTGTCTTTTGCAGAAATCCATTAGCTTTAAAAATGTTTGCTCATTCTGAGTAGAGTTGTGGCAGAGGGGAATTCCAGAAGGTCTAAAGACTGAGAAGTTAGTTGGATCAGTCTTTTAAAACTAAGGCACTCGAAGTAAGCAAGGGATCATCTAAGATGTGCTGAGAAAAGTCAGACCTCTAAGACTCAGTTAGTTTGACACATATATAGGAAAATAACTCTCATTTTTAAGAGTTGAGCCTCAGAGACTTATTGATCCTTTCAGATGGGAATATGTACAACGTAATACAGAAAACCTGCTTATTTTTTCCTGTGAAGTTGAAAAGCCATGCAAAAAGGGTATTGATTAATTTCCTTCCTATAGTACCTACACAATCTCTCATTGGCATAATTCCAATGTGCTAGAAGTATGCCCCATGGTAGTATGAGACTGGATACTGTGAGGCCAAGGAGGTTTTATATATGTCTCTTACTGGCAGCATTCTACTGGCCACTTCTTCAGTGCTCATTCTGTAGCTGTGTAATTATGCTCAAAGGTTGCAAGGGGAGTGTGTGTGATTTTTACTTTGTTTTTTTTTAACTAGCATTAATCTGTCTAATGCTGTATTAACAGCTGTACAAATTGAGTTGATAATGCAGCATCCAATTTTAATTTCAGTAAGCAGTTAGGAAAAGCAACCAGTATAGCAAAGTTGTATCTTGTAAATATCACACACGTACTCTTCTCTGAGTCAGATTTTGGCGTCTCGGGTGTACTGCTTGACACGGAAGCCCAGGTACTGAGCAACTTTGATCTCATGCATGTTGTGATGAATAAAGGTTTTTGCCACTGTTTTACGTAAGTGGGCTGTGGAAGCAGGGGTCACAGGAAACAGGCTAGATTAATTTCTCATGGGTTGCAAAACTGTCTGAAATCCTGTACTGCTGTAATTCTCAATCACTTGCTGACAGTAGGGAAGGATTACTGGAAGAGATCTCATTTGCCTTAACAATGGAACAGAGTAAGTTTGCTACATTTGCTAATACTGTTAAACTGGGAGGAACTGCTGGCATGTTGGGAGGACTGGATTGTCATTGATGACATCCTTGACAACCTGGATTGCAAAAAGACTGAAAGGAGTAAAGTCCTTTTGCACAAGGAAGAGAAAAATCTTCAGAGACTTATGAAGTAAAGGACAAGCTTACTTTATTTCAGCTGCATATAGGAAAAGATGCAATAGGTTAATGTTGCAACACATTGTACAGCATGGTACAAAGCTTTTAAAGGTAAAGGATAATTAAATATGGTAATAGGTAGCATAGGAGAATTGCTTCATTGTTTAATTATCATAAGTCTTTAAGAACAGATAAGGCAAATACTTGTTACGATTGAAAACATTTACATCTACCTTGTAGGTATGCTAGGCAACCTCTTGAAGTCTCTTTTGGGCTTGCTTGCTGTTACTGTTTGGGTTTTATTTGTTTGTACTTTTATAATGGAAAGAAGAAAGGTTTAAAAAACCTATCACACTTTTAGAAATGTTCTCAACCCACCCAAGTAGCTTCTGTCTTCACCCTTTACCCATTCAATTCTTAACAAAGGAAAGACTAAAGGAAGTACACCTTTGTAACCTATTTAAGTGTTCTTCATGAAGGGCGCATAAATACTGAAAGTCAATTATTTTTTTCTTTGCAGGTTACGGGATGACAGAATTAGGATAGAAAGGATGGAAAAACTCAAATTTGAATACAGCCATGCTTTCCAGCTGATCACTGATTTTTACACAAAAGAAGTGCCTGATACTACAGGTACGTCATGCAGATTTTTCTGCAAAAGAAGTGTCTGATATTACAGGTCTGTCACTCAGAATGTCTTGAAGTATGCACCCTGTTAGCTTATCCACAAGCAAGGAATACATGTGGGTGCATCCCATCAGATCTCATGGACTTGTCTATGTCCAATCTGTTTAAGTGTTCCCTAACTTGATCCTCCTCTGTTAAGGAGAAATCTTCATTGCTCCAGAATTTCCCACTGATCTGAGAGGCCTCGGATTCCTCAAGGCACATCTTACCAGTAAAAACCAAGACGAAGAAGGCATTGAGTTCCTCAGCCTCTTCCATGTCCTTTGTCACCAGATCTGCTGCCCCATTCAGCAGTGGGCCTACACTTTCCCTTGTCTTACTTTTGCTGCTGGTGTACTTGTAGAAGCTCTTGTTGCCCTTCATGTGCCTTGCCAGTCTCAACTCCAGGTGGGCTCTGGTTTTCCTAACCCCATCCCTGCAAGCTTGAACAATGTCTCTATATTCTTCATGGGTCCTGCTTCCACCTGTCATAGTCTTCCTGTTTTTAATGTTTGAGTTAATCAGGAGCATCTTGTTCATCCGTGCAGGCCTTCTGCCACCTTTGCTTAATTTTCTGCACATTGGGATCTTTTTTGAGCTTGGAAGAGGTGAACATTATTTAAATAGAAATGAATACAGAGCTAGCATGCTTCCCCGCCCCCCCCCAGCTTGAAGATGTGTGTTTAGACAGATTTAAATTCACACATATATAGTAACTGGGGGAAATCATTCAACATCTGAAATGTTTCTTCAAGTTCTTGTGTGTGTTAACATTTTAAGAACAGAAGAACAGGTTTAAAAAACAACTCTGAAAAAACTTAACTAAACAAGATTTTTAAAAAGACAATTTTGTGTTGAAATACCAGAGTGAATTTTCCTATTGTTGCAGCTGGAACAGGGACTGTAGTAGAGCAGTGCTTAGAAACACTATCAAATACAAATAGCTGTCTCACAAAGATGGAACCATATTCTGCAGATTGGCCGAGGCAGATAAGTCATAAGCACATGTGCCAAGGCCTGTTCTTTCCTTTGAACTTGCACAGATATTGCCTGCAGTAATGGAGATTTCAGAATTCAGTTCTTAGTTTGTATATTTAGAAATTTGTATATTATGCCAACAGTTAGTAATTTTTATGAAGAAAAACCTGTGGAATCAAATTTTTATGTTTCATAATGTGTTTACATTATTGCAACGTTTTACATTCTTTGGAACCATAAATGGTATTTTGGAACTTCACTTTATGTTGATTTATAGATATCATAGAACATTACACATATATTACAGATTGCTATTTGATTAAACTGAAAAATAGATTATGCTTTTTCTAATATATTGAAGTAGTAAACAGTGAGTTAACAAGAAAATCACGTAATTTTTTTTAGGCCCTCAAAAACTATCTGTAATACTAAGCTTGGATAAGCCTGTTATTTGCTCTCTGGCAGCAATAATTGCATACCTCAAAGAATTTAATTTGGAAAGGATGCTTTACAATCCAAGGTAAGTTGCCTTACGTAAACTTCCAATTTAAAGTACATGTACCAGTGTTATCCTCTAAGTTTTATCAGACAGCTTCTCTTCAGTGTAATGAATGTACCTGCTAAAGTGATAAACATAGTCTTTGTAAAGATTGTACCTTACATTTAAGCTCCTAATCAGAACTGGAGGAATCAAGTGATTTCTTTTTTTAAGTGATGTTTCCTGAAAATCTTTATGAAGTATGTTTTTCTAGATATTCCTATCAGTAATGTAAATGAAGACATACTGCTGCCAAGTGTTATTGAAAACAAACAAGGTGCAAAGACTGGTAGATACTGGGGTGGAAATTTTAAAGTTTATTCATCAATATCAGCCATCATATCTCAACCTCAGTTTTACTTTGTGAACAAAATTTGGGACTTTTTTTGGCAGCTTTAAAAAAAAAAAAAATCCAATGCTGTAATTTAGCTTTGCAGATCATGTTTCATTTTGCTGGAGGTTTGTAAGTAATTTTCTCTTTCTATGGCTCTGGAAGCAGGTGTAAATGCTAATGTTTAAACAGTACTCAGCAGGTCTGTGTGAGCTGGTGAATCTATTTATAAAGAAAACAGACATTCAACATATCCTGGTTTTCTGAAAAATCCTTTTATTTGGCTCAGTGGTAACTAGGAGTGGGGGAACAACCATGCAAAAAGTTGTTGATAGACCATCACCATTTGTGTAAAATTACTACAAAAGCATACAGACATGGAAATAATCTTGTCTTCCCTTATATAGTCCCAACACTTGATTAGATATGCTCAGCTGAGTTACTCAAAATTAGTAACAGGATTATGCAGGTGGAATCAAATGAAAATGGAAAGATATTGCCACTCAAGCATCTTTTTATCCTGTCTTGCACAAATATAAAAGATTGCTATCCTACCTGGCTTAGGTTTGAAAATACCATTGAGGTTTGTTAAATGCTTTAATAAAACAGCTGTCATGGATCTTACGCAGAATACTCGCTTGGCTGTCTTGGTATTCCTCTGTACTGTAAGTAGGCAGGATTTAACAAAGTAAGTCTGGCTGCAGACTGGAAACTTAGAAATATGGTGAGTCAGTTGTAGATCATTCATGTGTTGTATGAGATTCTTAAAGTTTCAAGTCTTATTTTGAAGGGCTCCCTACGTTACCAGTTTTTTTTTAAAATGCAGCTGCATTTTAAAAATTGGCTGTAGATGTCAGCTTTAAACATTTCTCAGGTATCTACTAAAACATTTGGAAATTATATATACCTGGGTTTTCTGGAATTTTGAATGGATTTTATTCATTAAGTTGCCCTTTCCCTCTCCAAGTACTATTAAAATATTAACAAAAAGAATGCCTGTAGCACCTTCTAAGCTGTCTGTCCTGCCTCATCCATCAAGGAGCAGTCTGATCTGTGGTGTTCCAGCACTGTGATGTTCCAGCTCATCCTCTTGGGCTGGCTTTTTTGGAGAAATCTTGTGCGAGTTTCTGAAGCAGACAACGAAATCCAAGGAAATGCCATTCCATGGTCACACTTGTAGATCACTGTTGTCACAATGCCTTATGTGCAATCACACATCTGTTCTTTCAGATGGGGGAAATACAAAGTCTGGTTTTTATGTAGAAATAATTCAGTAGCAGAGGAGAAACATCCTTATGTGAAGGCTTACCTAGCAGCAGTCAGACACACCTGTAATAGCTGCATCTTAAAATCAGGTATAATAACAGACTGGAAATGAAAAGCACTAAAACTTAAGTTGACACTTGCCTGCTGAAGGTTGCTCTAATGAACTTTATGTGAATGTATGAACAACTGAGTGGAAAGGCAGTGAACTATTTGATATCTTCGTGATATGCTATGAAGAAATAAAATACATTCTTTAAGATAACTTTTTTCCTGTGCACAGGAGCTCAGATTCTACGGTATTTATTTCAAAAGCCTCTACTGCTTTGACTACCTGATACTGAATTCTACCTGCTGTTTTTTGTGTGTCATATATATTGAAATTGTGAGCCAAATACTGAGGCAAACCCAACTTCAGTATTTTTCCTAATGCCAGCAAAATACTATTTAAATACTGAAAAGGGAAAGACTTTTAAGCAAAGGGTGACAGGCTGATGGATATTCTGTGATTCTGCAGGAAATAGAAGAGAAATACTTCCATTGCATTGTCAAGCAACTTAAAATTCCTAGGAGAATTCAGGTCAGTGAGCATATACTGATGAGTCAGTGAGCATGAAGTTGGAGTTGTGAGATAGTTTTCAGCTTATTAGTGTAAGTGACACAGATCTGGATGAAAAAGACCTATTTGATAGGAAGAATGACAAAAAAAATTCCTTTACACCTCTGTACTTTCTTTGGATAAACACTCTCTTACCAGCTGAAAAAAATTCCAGCTCAATTTAATACGAAGAGTCCTGAAACATCATGTAAGTGATGAGGGATCTTCATAATAGTTAGATGAAGCTTTTAAAATCCACTTTTAAGGTCCTATAATAAAGCAAAATATTAAAAAGAAAAAAAGATATGGCTAGACTGCATTAGAGCTCTAGTAGCAAGTAAAAATAGATTTAACAATGAATGTTACAAGCTTTTTTTTAATCAGTATGTTCCAATACCTTTACATACTGAGAGACCTTATTAGCTTTTGACAAGAAGTTGGTACACATCTAGGAGAGGTTTTAAAATACAACTGGGTACCCAGTTTTGCTTGAAAAACCATCATTTGCATAGCAATTGCTGGGAAATGTGACTCGGTGCATTTTAATTTTACCGACGTGTTTTTCAGCATATTGGAGATGTAAGAGAGAGACTGTAGTTCTTAGATTTTTGGACAGTGATAGAGGAACTTGAAGAAATGCAGGGAATGAAAGAGCTAGGTATCTTTCTGAAAGAGGGGAGTAGCTTTAGGATTGGAGAACTACCAGCAGTGAAGATAGAAAACAGAGGCAGAAGTGAAAGAGGAGAGGGGAGGGTTAAAATGGCTTTGAGGGAGGAGAGGAAAGAGAAAGAATTCAAGACGAGAAAGGTTTGATTGTGCTTTATAATAGGGCTGGAAGGGAGTTGGCAAGATGAAATTAAGAGCGAAGTAAAAATACAAGTTCAGATTAAAATGATGGACATCTTTGAATTCTCAGGAGAGAAACTGAGGGAATGGTGTTCATAAGGCTTTCATATCTCGGGTGCTGATGATGTCAGAAATATCACGTATACAAGACAATGCACAGGTTTACTTACCCACCCTCACTATGAGAAAGGGAGTACTGAGATGATTTGGGAAGGTTCCAAAGTCAGTTTAGGAGCATGAGGGAGTGAAAAAGAAAAGGCATAATTTTCAAACACTAAGAAGAGGTGCTTCGCAAGGATTTGCCATCTCTTTTGAGACCACAGAAGAAGGGCAGCAGGTTGGACTTCTTGCACTCTGGGCTTTTGGAACTTGTAGGAGGAGTGCTGAGGCTGTGTGCAAGGAAAACGGGCTGAGAGAGTGCAGACATCTGGGTAGAACAAGGTTCTACCTACTCCTTGGGGTGAGTTCAGTGAAGAAAAAGACGACTAAGGCAGGATAAAAACAATGGAGGTTATTTTTGTTTCTCTTAATCCTTTCCAGGTTGTCTCATTTCTGTTCCTGTTCTCTTTTGTGTTTCTCAGTTTGGTTTTGTGTGTGTGTGTTTCTTTTACTTTTTTACTGGTTTATCTCGAAGTTTCTGGACTCCTATTGCATCAGGGATCCAGATCAGAAGTTCTAGCTCTGTGGCAATATTTGCTAATGAATTTAAAACTGGTTAATTAAATACAAAACATAGTGTGGGCTTGATCTCCACAGCTACTTAGACTGAGGTAAATGTCTTTCATACGTAAAGAAAGCTAACGCTTCTGACAAATGGAGAGACTTTGTTTTACTCCTTAAAGCTGAATAGGGATTCCTGCAACTCTTGTCTAGATATATAGGTTCGTTCTGTTGTTATTTACCCCTAGAAATCACAAAGACATGGACTCTAGAGGTCTGTAAAAGGTAATTGAGCAAAGAAAATCTGCTGTTTAGTAGGCTTTCAGTACAGTCCCTTGCAGCTTTACTGGAAAGTTTTTACAGATTTGCAAAACTAAAGTAGTTGAAAACTACTGATCTCAATAACATGCATTCACTTAGGCTGGGTTACTGAATACAAAATTACATATGGTATCTTATGTGGATAGAATAATGCATAAAGTGCCCTGCACTGCAAGCTTCTCAGGAGGCAGAATGACCAAGAAGATCCAATTTCACGGGTAGCTCGTTAAGAATCAAAGCATGAGGATGTAGTCTATTGTCCTAAAGCAATCATAGTAACCCTTTAATACTCATCATCAAGTGCGGTCCTACTCTGAAAAGTCATGAGTAGGAACCTCTTTCTCATGAGTATCCCCCCAAAGTTCATTAAATCTTATTAGAAGCTTGTGTTTCTTTTTGTTTCCTCTCTTCGTTTTTTTCAGCCCACATGGCATGATCCTACCTTGCCTTACTACTCAGTAGTGGAATTGCCAGCTGTTTCTATCACTTGTGTTTTGTGCTGTTTAGGTACTTGATAACAGTTGCAAGTCTGTTCTTTGAAACTCAGGTACAGTGTCACCTGCAGAAGGAATTACTGCATTGCGATCCAATTGAAGTGATTTTGGAGGGTCATTTTTACTGATGCAGGAGATGGCTGATAGCAGCACATTAGAATTTCTCACAAGGAACCTGTTGACACCCTTGCTGCAAAACCAACACTGACTTAATATTTGTTCCATCTTCTTATGCTGTTTGGTCCCTAAATTTCCTGCAAAGAGTCTGTCTTTGTTCACATTTTTATCAAGTTCTGATCCCAAGCTGAAGGAAGATGAGCGGGTGGAAGCAAAACATGTTCTGGAACTGTTGGTTGGGCATATACTGCACTTGATCTTGGCTATTATTCGTATACTGTAAGCTCTCAATTGCCAGGTTTAATAGCAGGGTGGAGTAACTCAGATAAAGCAAGCACCTGGATAATATAAAACACATGTAATTTATGCTGTGAGAACAAACTGTAGCATATCTGATTCTGAAAGAATAGTAAACGTAGTCTGCAGAGGAGCAGAGTTAGTTGTCTTTGAATACTACCACAAAGCAAGCTTGCTGTGAACAGAGTACAGTCTGTGTTACATGCTCTAAAGTGGGGAGACACTAGAAACAGTAAATCTACAGTCTTGAAACTCACCTATGGGTGACTGAGGGTTGATATAGAAATAGCCAAAAGCATCTTTTTCACTTTTGGGAAGAGATGGAAAGGCATGGTTCTTAACCCAGCTGGATTTAAGAGATCACAGGCTTGAGTAGTGGCAAATGAAAATGCAGCAAATGGGGGAACTGCAGTTTAGGTACGTCCTAGATGCAGAAGAGGTGCTTTTGAAAGAGTGAATAGGATTTGTTGTTGATCATAAGGATTGGGAGCCAAGTAGAAATCATGCCTATTTAATTTTTGCCAGCATCAGCAGTTGTGACAGAAGGTAATAAAAGGAAGTTTTGTTCTGTTGCTTGTATACTTTGGAAAGTGCTGCTGCTTTTGCCTCCAAGGTTTTGTTTTGCTGGTCAACTTTGTTGGTTGCTGGGATAGCACACTAGATCAGAGTAATTATGACTATGGCTACAGTTCTGAGTCAACTGTACTTCCAAACTTATCATTGAACTTCTTGGGGCACTCAGTTGAATGTACTTTTTTTAAAAAAAATTCTGTGGCAAATACTTCTAATTTCACTCATTATGTAGGAACAAATTTTCTAGCAGGCCAAAACACCTGCATACAGCATAAATATATAACATTAGTCTCTGAATATTTCATGTTTCTGAAAGTTTTAGTGCCGGTTTTGTTTTTAATATAGCAATAATGCAGCTGTGTGTGCCTAACAGAAAAGTTTAAGCATTTGAGTGCTCCCTCAGAGAATTTAAAATTGAATGCACTGAAAAAAAAAATTGTGAAAAGTCAAGAAAGTAGTTTTAAATCCTACCCAGCAAGTCATTCTGTTTAGTCTAAGACAATAAAGAGTGTCCTAGATTTTGTGCAAAGGGCAGTCAGCAGTGTGATTAACCTAGACAATCATGACTTGGTTTGTCAGAAGCATTTAGTGAGGATCTTGCATTTCATTTCATGGTCCTGACTACCACATGTGTATGTCTGAGACTGAAATAATTTTCATATCTAATATGATTACACATCTAATGGAGTAATTTTATTAATGTTGATTCTAAACCAACACAACCTTTGGGTTGGTCTTGTCCTGTGAGTGTCAAAAAGTCAAGTAATTTTGGTCATTTCATATTAAAAGTAAAATCAAGTAGTTCAAATATACCCTATTTTTGTTTTCCTAAATAATTGCACTAACAGCCTGTTTAAATTTGTAGTAGTCGTAAAAAATAAGAATATGTATTTTGACATGCTGTTTTGATGATGAGTTGTGTTTAAAAGTCTGTTCCACTGTTGAAGTATTAATTCTTAGCCCTATCTCTGCCCCCCAATCCTACAGGGATCATAACAGAACATTAACAAAAGCACATACTTTTTCAATGTCATCATACAAAGAAGGGGTACTTCCTTAACCATTTAGTGGATCAGGATTAGATAACAGGAGAGCTGGATTTTATTCTGAGCTTTGTCAAAGTCATTGTAGGAAACTGGGAAGTGAGTCATATTTTCCCAAGCAGTAAATTAAAAGAAGTTATTAGTGTTCAGTTCTTTTATTTATATGAACAGATTTTAATTTCTTGATTTTTTTAATTAAATTTTGCATAACTAGTGAGCTCTCTAATGTGAGAAACTTGACAGTGTTTCACTGTTACGTCTGTGCCCACATTTAAAATATAACATATGAAATTCCTCTCCCCAGCAATTTCAAACAGTTGTCAAGTGAAACCGAATACATGACAATTAATGGGACAACAATGAAAAATCTTGAAATTTTACAGAATCAGGTAAGGACAAATGCAATTTTTTTTTTTTTTTAATAAATGCTGAGATTTTTACAGCTGTTTGACATACTGTTCCCAATGAAGTTAGTTAAGTTAGTTTGCAGATCTCAACCAGAAGGTTTAAAATATTTCACATGGGATCAAACTGAAGGAGGATTACATTTTCAGAGGCGCAAGTGAAAGTTAATCTGTGCTGCCTTTTAGTATGAGTTAGGAACTTCATTGTATTTCGACTAGCAAAGAACTTTCCTGAAGTTTGAGTTCTTGAACAACTGTGGTCAAGTGATGTGACTGCAATAGGATTTGTTTTTTCTTTTGTGCTACTGCACAGACCTTTATGCACAGACTTAATTTGTTTAATTTATTCCAGTAATTTTCTGGAAAGATTTTCTGGCAAAAAGAAAAACACACTTAAGTATCTAAGGACTGTTGGAGGTACTTTGTATAAGGCGTTCTTGGTGAACAAGATCAGTAAACGGACATGCAGTTGCCATATCTTAAAGCCTAACCAGAATGTTTAAGTAGTGTGATAAAGATCGTTTCACTACATCATTGATTGTTCAGTTAAAAATGATTATGCTGTTTTTATTGTTTTAGACTGATATGAAAACAAAAGGAAGCCTACTCTGGGTCTTGGATCATACTAAAACTTCCTTTGGACGTCGGAGACTGAAGAAATGGGTAACCCAGCCCCTCATGAAATCCAGGTGAGATAGTTCTTTATCTTGGGCTAAATTTATATTTTAAAATTATGATGCTGAGTATGCCAAATGCATTTATTTTTCCTGAAGACCTGAGACCCATAGTAGAGTTTACACAGGAAATGGTATCACAGAAGATGTGGACATTATATATAGGTTCGAGAGTTAAACCACTCTGCTTGGGCACAGAATGTCTAAGTAGTTCAGAGTAGTAGGTTTGGAACAAGTTAGAATTTCCTATGAAGAAATCAGATTGGGTACCATTCTAATTCAGTGTCCTTTTTCAGATAATGCATGAGGATTACCTGCTGTTGGAGGATATTTTATTCCTAAACTTGCCAACTCATGTTTGATGTCTTTCTTGCTTCACAAGTATTTGCATTCTTAATGTATTTAGTTTGTTCTGATGTAGTTGTGGATGTTTGTGTTATCCCTGTATGCAATGTATTACATATAAAAGTATTTCTTTATATTAGTTCTGAAATGTGATGATTGTTTTGTCACTTTTGTATTTTGAGTTATGCTTTATTTATTAATGCTTTAGAAAGACTTTATTTTGTAGTACTGTCATGCTTGTTTTTACCTGTCTCTGTCTTGAAAGGGACTTTTCTGATCTTTTCTGATTTCTCTCTGCAGGCTTTATAGGAGCGTTATACTTTGAATATGTAGTAAATAACAGTATTAAGTCCATTGAATGTTTGTTGCCTACATTTTAAGGTTTTGGATCCATTCCTTTGAATGTGCGTTCCCTGAGCACTGTCAATATAGTCAATTGTCACTTTGTTCACTTCAGCTATAGCATACAGAAAGTCCTTTTGGTTTGGTTATCTGAAATATTTTTTCCATCTGTTTTACTTTTGTAGATGTGTTAAACAGTTTTAATTTTTATTAATTTTTAACAGTTTTAACTAGTGAGGTATACCAATGTTTCAGCGTTTTGCTGCTGCTGTTAATTTACAACTGTTTCTATGGAAGCATTTTTTTTGGACCAATTTTTAATGTGTTAAAGCACTGCACTTCTGAAGCATTGCTGCCTGATTTTCTTACTAGCCTTGTTGTGAGGATCTTTTATCAGTAGTGTAAGAAAAGCATGTAACTATTTTTTTCCATCCTATTTTGTTCTTTTAGAATATTAGAGACCTTTCTCATTTGTAAGAGACATACTGGGAAGAGTTTCATGCTACAGTTTCTGACAGGGATTTCATAAGTTGATTTCAGTATACTTTTTTTTTTTCAAATTCTTCTGATAATAGCTTTTATATATCGTACCCACTTCAAAAAGGCTTTTGATGTAACCACCCTAGATATATTAGACTTTATGGAAGTTGATTATGTGCCTGGTGTTCACCTTAAAAGTGCATAGGTAGAATTTCTGAGCCACTTTGCAGGAATGAATTGAAAGAAAGTAGTTTATGTCTTTTTCCTGCCCTTGAGGCATCTCAGGACCTTTGGGGAATTGTTTGTAAAGATGTCAGCGGAGGGAGCCAGAGCACAGGCTCTGGTCTGGTGTGGGGGCAGCACTGAGGAAGGGGACCTGAAATGGAGTGCCTCTAACCGTTTTGCTCCCAAATGATTACGTAGGTGATACAGCAACTGAAATAACATTCGAGAGTAAAATAGCCAGAGTTCTTATGTGGACATAGAGGATAGAGGACTGCTTGCCTGGCAACTTAAGATCTTTCTTAACCAGTAAATTTAGTTTAAATTCTACCTTGTCTCAGTGCAGAACCAGCTTTACAAGTTTGCAGGTTTGATTTCTTCTCTTTATTCTCTGCTCTTTGCTACTTACAGAGACTGATACTTCCCTTTTTCAGCCTTCTTTCTCAGTATGGAAAGAAGTTCTGTGGCTGCAGATGACAAAACTCCTCAGTTGAAGCTAAAAAAGCTATTTTGTTGCTGTGTATTTCTCCCATTCTGACTCTTAAGTTGTAATTCAACATACTTAGTGCATCAGACATTCAGCGGTATTGTTTCCAGTAATGCACACAAATGCACTTAGAGAAAATTCTGTAATTGTAATTCACCTATGCCTCCTGGAGTGACATTTTCAGAGGAAGTAAGATTTCTGTACTACATCTTTTCCAGTCAGTGAGTAGGTGCATTTCCCTTGGTGTATCAAAAAGTGAGAGGGTGTAATTACTGCTTTATGCCTCATAGTTGAAAATCGCTTGTGAAGATCACTAAATTTCAAGGGGAGAAACCATGCACTAGATTGAATAAAGGCAGAATGTGTACAGACAGCTCATTTGCGCAACCCTGTAGATACCCATTAGACAGTCGGTGATGTAATACATTTAGACACTTCCAAGAAAAGGTTTTAAGCATTAGGAATGTGAGATTTTGTGGAAAAATAAAATAAATAAAGGCTTAACCAAGGAAGTTGTAATGTCCTTATTCACCTAGCTATACAAAGGTGATGAGGTAAAAATGTATGAGTCATGGAAGACTCAGCTTTTTAGGAGAAATCGGGAAAGTCACTGTTTTTTGTAAGAGTTACAACTTTATGGATTACAGAAGCGTTATCTCACATTGACTATCTTGCCTTTGAAATGTAAGTCCCATCAAGTGCCTTTCTCGCCTAACTTCTGTAACGGCAATGGAAAGAAAAGGAAATAGAAAGCTGAGTTGGTTGAAACATTTTTGACTGAACGAAACGGGCTGTTTCTCTGTCGGGCAATGGAGTGTCAGCAGGAGAAGGATTAGAGCTGTGTATTATCATACTCAACAGTAAAAGGGCTAAGGACTGTTGTCGGAATACAGTGTTGTAACATAATGTGATCTTTGTGCCTTGTATCTGTGCAACGTTTAAAAATAATTTATTTCCTAATGCAAAATTAATCTCAGAACCTCTGAAGTTGATGTGAAACAGTCATTGCTTTTTGAATAGCTACAGGAAGAGGAGAAAGATAAGCTTAACATAGGCCTGGTTAAGCAAACCTGGATCTGGTTTGCATCTTTCTTGTTTTGTTGTTGTGCATTATGGATATGTTGTCCTAAGGCGGTGGTATAAGAGAAAGTGTAAGGAAGCTGTTGCCCTGCATATGGACAATCTGAAGCCTCATCTCTGCAAAATGTGTCTTTCTTTGTCTCTCTGTTATATCCATGGTTACTCCTTTCCACCCTCACCTTTGCATCTCCCTTTCCTGTTTCCTAAGTGTTATGACCGGCTCCAAGCTATAGCAATGCTGCTTGTGCAGTTTGGACTCCGAACAGAATGGATGACACTGGAACAAATAATTGTGTCCTTTTCCTCATTGGATATTAATCTGTGTCTGTGCCTTGCTCATCTGTTGATTCTTGCACTATTTGTAGGAAATTTGTTTCCTTGAGATCAAACAAACACCTTCCTCAACCTTGTCAAGGTTGGCTGGAACTGAACAAAGATTTCAAAACAGAAGGCGGCGAATGAGTAACACAATTATATGGAGGTTAATTATTGCCATGTTAGATCAGGCTGCAAAGCACCTAGTCACAGCTTTATTAGGTTAAAGTAGAACTTGAGGTAAATGATGTCTCAGTATCATACTAAGCAATTGATAGCCGCTGTAGGGGAATATGTGTAGAATCCCATTCCTGTGCAGAGAACTCTGTGGCCTGTGTGTATAGAAAGCATTGCATAAGAGAGATTGGGTTTTTTCTCCCTAGTGTATTCCCGGGAGAGATAGAATATCTTTTAAATATCAGTGGGTGGACGTCATGAATTGTCACTTTCAGTACTCTAGCCAGGGAGAAGGTAGAGACTGTGCTCTCTAAGTGGAAGATAACATGGAAAAATGCTAGTGTTTGCCTTTGTTGCAGAAGTGCTTAGTTAATGAGTTAGAAAAGTGCAAAATTTTAAAAGCTTAGATGTGAAGGGTGGATAACTGTAAGTGATAAAATGTTTGTTCTGTGTGTGACGTGAACATAATAGTTTGTACAATGCTTGCTCCCTCTTTGGGCTGATTTCTACTATTTTTTGAGGGGGTTTGTGGTTTGAAGTAGCTTAAACAGACTGATGATCCACAAGTACCGAAATTGTAGTTCTTTAATATTCTGTTGAGTCTCTTGGTTTTTTAATATGTTATTTATGATGTGTAGAAGCTAATGTAATGAGGTTAGTGATAAGATTATGGAGAGCAGAATGCCCTAAACATAAAGTTCAGAAGTCAACTTCCAGCACAGAAAGTTTGCTCAGGGCTTTGGGGTGAATAGACTATGCCCTTGTCACCTTGTGTTGAAAAATGGGGGTGGGGGGGTGGGGGTGGGGAACAACTGAAAAAAAACAAACCAACCCTCTTACCCATACACACAACTTCACATCTATGTTTTGGGGATGCATGTGTCAGTTCTGGTGTACTGCAAGCTGCAGAATATGCTTAATATACTGGAGTGAATGTAGAGAAAAAAATTTAAAGCTTCCAACATGACATAGCATGCCATGGGAAGGGAGTGGTGATCAAAGGCTTCATCAATGTTTTGGGCCTCTGCTGTAACAGAGAACTTTTGAGGTAGAAGTGGGCAATGCCCATCCCACATGGAGGCCCAAGGTCTCTTTCCCCACTTTCTGTGTGGACCCTTGAGCCAGTGGCAAGGCATAGCCAGCACAAGGCTCGGTGTTTTCTCAGCACTCCCAGGCTGCCGTGCCCAGTACGCTGCTGGCATCTCTCATGCTGGGGGCGTGGAAGAAGCCTGGGGACAGAATTAAGTCTCGCTTAATTCCTCCAGGCCATTAGTAAAAGTTCAGAAGCATGGAATTAATTAGATAAAAAGTATTCCAGATGAGATCAAATATGTGACAATGAAACCTCTTTTTGGGTGCTGCAATGGGTATCAGCAAATCAAACACTTAAAGCCCCGTTAGAATGAGCTTACCTTTTTGGCCGCAGATTCACCCCAACCTGTTGATGTATTTCAGCTTTACTGTGGTATAGTTCATGTTCTCTCTAAGACGCACTGTTTGCCAGAAGTGAATATGGGACTTTGATGGTTGGAACTCTATGTAGTTTCTTGCCTGCATTTATTTGTAG